TTCAAGGTGGTGCTCCGAGGCGTAGGGCCCGAGGCGAAGGTGCAGCGGCCGCTCTTCCCTGCCGCCTTCCCGCTGTCGCTGCCGCCGCCAGTGCGGCCGGCGCCGCTCGAGCGCGCCTTCGCGGCCTGGAGCCCTGAGGGAGGGCAGTCGCTCAAGGAGGGCTGCCAGGAGTGGTTCCAGGCGGTGGAGGCCTACCTGATCGACCTCCACGAGATCGTGCCGCCCAGCCGCTGCAAGGGGCGCGCGGGCGGGCTGCGCACGCAGAAGGTCGTGATGGAGGTAGCCTGGAAGCAGGACTGCAGGAGGAGCGCCGGCGCCGCCTGCAGGCGCTGGATGTCGTTCTCGGCGGCATGCGCCCGCTGGCGCGCGCTGCAGGAGGAGGCGCCAGGAGGTCGCTGCTGGGCGCCGCTGCGCACGCAGCGAGAGGTGCTGTTGGCGTTCGAGCTCGAGTGGCCAGAGGATGGCCCGCTGGCTGGGCTGTCGGTGACCCGCGTGATGGGCTTGCTCAGCTCCTCCTCGTGCCAGCTGACGGTGCAGTTCGTCCAGGAGGAGGCGAGGCGGCGCTGGAGGCTGGACAAGCAGCGGAAGGCCGCGGAGTGGCGCGCTTGGGCCCAGGCCGCGGCCACGGAGAAGGGCGGCTCGGCGGCCTACCGCTTCATCAGGCAGGTCGCGGTGGTGCCCGCGGAGGTGCTCGCGGGCGTGGACGGCGACGACGACCTGCGCATGCCCGTTGCGGGCGAGGCTGCAGTGGCTGCGCTGCTGGAGGCGTGGCAGCCGCTCTGGGTCAAGCCGTCGCGTGCAGGCGAGGTGGCGCCCGAGAACTGGGACAGCCAGGAGTCGGTGCTGCCGCCGCTGGAGCTCGAGGACCTCGAGCGGGTCCTGGGCACCTACCGCGAGGGGTGTGGCCTAGGGTGGGATAGGCTCCACCCGAAGCAGCTGCTGCGCCTCCCGCGGACCTACAGGCAGCGCTTCCTGGAGCTCCTCATGGCCTGGGAGCGGAAGCCTTCGCGGGAGGCGCTGTGGCAGCTGATCGTGGTGTTCATCCCCGAGGCTACTGGCGGCCAGAGGCCGATCGGTTGTTCTCTCCCGTCCTACTGCGTTTCCCTCGTGTCTTTAAAAACCCAAAAGAAATTTAAAAATAAAAATAAATAAATTCGCTGAATTTGCAATTAATTAAAACGATATTAAATAGATAAATAAATATTTGTTTTTGATCAAACAACTAAATTACATATGCTTCTTGCAAACTATACCTGTTGAACGCATCGGGGGTGTTTCTTTTGCTCACGTATGACGCTTGCTGGGCTTACACACCCCCTCGATGTTGAGTTTGGTTTTAGGAAGTGTGCGTTGTTCGGTTTGGGTTGGTTTGGTTTTGCGTTAAGGCTGGGTTGGGTTAATTTTCGTTTGTTTGATGTTGGGTCGGTTTTGCATTTCCTTCAGAGCAGGAAATCTCACCCCCACAAAAGATGACCCCGAGGGGGTCTTGAGTCGGCCCCAATTTTTGTTTCACTCGGACTGTCTTCGGTCTTCCCGACGGGGCGCGCTCGCCTCGGCGCCCGCCGCCCTCCTGCCCCCTCTACCATTACTCAATATTCAATATGAGTACTACAGTCAGAGTTTTTCAGGACAATGGAACAATGGACATGGTCGTCCGTCGTCCGTGGTCATCGGTCGTCGTCGTCGTCGTCGTCGTCGTCGCAGCGAAACCTTGTGCTCCCCTAAGAGCAAGGGGGGCAGGGAGGAGAGGAGGACGAGGGCGGAGGAGGGAGCCTGTGACCAGACTCTCGGGGGGAATCTGGTCACAAGTTTTGGGGGTCGCGCTTTGCGCGCGCGTGATGGTTTTCTTGGGAACGTCCCTATGTTTTGCTCGTTTGCATTTTATTGTTTTTGCCATTTGGCATAAATCGTGCTTGGTTGTTGGTTTCCTCTCAAGGGGCGGGGGGGGGGGCGCTGTCTCTTCAGGGGGGGGAGGGTGGGCGGGGTAGCGTGTCAGATGCGCCGCGAGCGCACCTAGCTTGGCTCATCCCTGTCCCCCTCCTCTGCCCTCCCTCCCTCCTTTTCCCACCGTCTCTCCCACCCTCCCCTGGGGGTCCGCTGTTTGGCCCTGGCCGGGGCTTCGGGGTCGCGGCCGCGGCCGTGCGGCGCCATATGGATGCCGCGGCATTGGAGGCCGCGTTCGCGGCCATCCCAGTGCAGCGGCGGCAGCCGCCCGCCCGTCGGTTGCCGCCCGACGTGGCATGGCGGTCGCCGGGCCACATGCGCATCGCCAGGCCACTTCCTCTGCCCCCCCCCGGCGTCGAAGATAAGGAGGGGGAGGCGAGGAGGAAGGATGAGAAGGAGGAGGACGGGGCGGCGGAGGTGGAGGGGGGAGGAGGATGGAAGACAGGTGTTTTTCGTGCCAGCGCAACGCCGCCGTGCGGCAGCGACGGCGGCGGCGTCGTCGTCGTCACCGTCGCCGTCCTCGTGACCGTCGGCGTCCTCGTTCTCGTCGTCGTCGTCGTAATCGTCGTCGTCGCCGTCGTCGCCGTCGCCGTTGCCGTCGTCGCCGTCGTCGTCTTCCAAGTCGTCCCCGTCGTCGTCGTTGCCGCCGTCGTCGTCGCCGCCGTCGCCGCCGTTGTCGTCCTCTCTATCGCAACCGTCGTCGTCGTCGCCGTCGCTAACGTCGTCCTCGTCGTCGCAGTTGCAGTCGACGACGTCGTCGCCGTCGTCGCCATCGCCGTCGTCGACGTCCAAGTCGTCGTCGTCGCCGTCGTCGCCGCCGCCGTCGTCGCCGTCGCCGCCGTCGTCGCCGTCGTCGCCGTCGTCGTCGCGCTTGCCGACGTCGTCGCCCCCCGCCCCAGGGACGGCGCCGGCAAGAAGAAGGCCGCGGCGTCCGAGTCCGCGGCGTCGAAGAGCCTGGACTCGCTCGGCGACGCGTGGAACCGCGAGTTCGGTTTGCGCACAGGCCGATTTCGCCGCCGTTGCCGCCGCCACCGTCGCGGTCGTCGGCGTCGTCGCCGACATCGTTGTGTCGTCGCCGCCGCCGTCGTCGTCGCCGTCGTCGTCGTCGTCGTCGTCGCGTCGTCGCCGTCGTCGATGTCTCCGCCGTCGTCGAGGTCGTCGACTTTTTCTCCGTCGCCGTCGCACCCGCTGCCGCCGCCGCCGTCGTCGTCGTCGTCGTCGTCGTCGCAGTCTTAGTCGCGGTCGTCGTCTTCGCCGTCGCCCCTCCACTCATTGTTTCTTTCCTGTATGTTTCCATCTCTCCCTCCCCTCCACCCCTCCTTCCCTCTCTCTCTCTTTCTTTCTCTCTCTCTCTCTCTCTCTCTCTCTCTCTCTCTCTCTCTCTCTCTCTCTCTTTCTCTCTCTCTCTCTCTCTCTCTCTCTTTCCTTGTCTATGCGTAGTATAGTGTATACTTATATATATATACATATATATATATATATATACGGGAGTATATCTTTCGCTCTGTCCCCCATCCCTCCCTCCCTCGCGAACTCTCTGACTCCCCCTCTCCCCCCTTCCTTGTCGGTCTCGCGCGCGCGCGCGCGGCTCGCAGGCGATCGCTACTTGAACAGGGCGTCGGTCGAAGCGGGCGGGCCCCAGAACCCGCAGACCTGGTCCCACGACGGTCTGGTCCTGACGGCGTGGCGGGAGGTGGGCGGCCACGGTCGTCGTCCTGTTGGGGGCGGCCAGGCTGGGGTCGGCGAGACGACGCGGCGCCTGGACGCCGCGGCGATCTTGGCTGCTGCGGCGGACATTCTGACTGAGGACGCGCGGGGGTCAGGGGCCGCCAGGGCCGTTTCCCCCTCCTCTCCACCGCGCCTCTTCCATTCCGAGCCCCCATCCTTCCCGCCCGCTGCCCTCTGGCCATGGCCATGGCCGTTGCCTCGCCCCCCGCCCCCGCCCTCGTTCTGCCGCCCCCGCGTTCCCAGAGGATTGCATCGAGAAGTTCCTTGAGGACCTGCCGGCGGGTGAGTTCTTGCACGCGAACCGCCACTTCGACGCAACGCCAGTCATGCTGAACTTCGGCTCGTTGCAGGAAGTGTTGAGGCCTCGTGCCCGATATCTCGTCCCAGATCCCGACGACCCAGCTCAGCGCAAATACAGAGCAGTTTCATGGGATGAGTTTCGCCGACGCTTTCCGCGCTCCAGGCCGAGCAAGGGGCTCCTCGAAGTGTTGGCCACGGAGTTTGAATTCTTGACGCTTCGCGTATCCCCACCAGCCCATCCAGAAACGGAACCTCATGGCGGCCTCTTAGCGCCTCTTGGAGGCCTCCTGGGGCCATCCAGGGCGCCTCTTGGGGCCTCTTGGGGGCTTCTTGGGGCCTCGTGGCGGCCTCTTGGTGCCTCTTGGAGGCCTCTTGGAAGCTTCTTGGGGCCTCCTGGGCGCCTCTTGGGGCCATCTTGGAGGAGATCGATCAAAAAAGAGGGTGGAGTTAATTAGCATTGCCCCTCGGGAGCCTCTACAATCGCCTCTTGGACCCCTCTTGGAGCGCTCTTGGGCGCTCTTGGGGCCGTATTGGGGCTCTCTTGGGCCCCCCTTGGGAACCTCTTGGGCAATCTTGGAGCCATCTTGACGCCTCGGATGGCCATCGGAAGCGAAACGGCGAGAAGGCAACAATCACTGGTTTCCTTCAAGTTTTTGAAGGTTTTTGGCTTCTTGGAGGCCTCCTTGGGAGGCTATTTGGCCTCTTGGAGTCGTCTTGGGGCCTCTTGGACCATCTTCGGAGCCATCTTGAGGCATCTTAGGCTATCTTGAGCCATCTTGGAGCTCATCTTGGGCTCTCCGAAGCGCTCTTGGAGCCGTCTTGGGCCATCTTGGGCGCTCCAACTACCCGCGACCGCCCCCGCCCAGGTCCGGGCGAGGGGGCAGGGGAAGGGTAAACCCCTCCCCGAAGGGGAAGAAGGGGGTTGGAAAAGGAAACTCCTTGCTCCACCTACGCCCAGAGGGCTGGTGGGATTTCACGTCGAACAGGGCAGCCGCTCGGCCGCGGTCCTCCCTCGCATCCTTACGAAGGCGACCGCCTCGGGCACGTGGCTCGCCATGGACACGGCGATCAAGCACCTGAGCCACGAGCGCCTCGAGGACTTGGCGAGGGTCTTGAAGATTATCACGCTGTCCGACGTCCCGGACAATTATGCGGTCAACGCCAGGTTCAAAAGCTTCGTGTGTTCCACGTTGCCGCGGAACGTGCTCTACACTCCGCACGGCTGCGCGGTCCACCTCGTCCAGCGGGTCATGGCAGGGGCGCTGAACATGAAGAAGTTGGCCGGCGATGTGCACGCTGTTTGGAAGACGTTGCGCCACCCCCGGAACGTCGATAAGATCAGCGCGGTCGCGACAGGGATAGTTCGAGATATGTTGATATTGCCTGGCCCTCCGCCGGACCCGAGGTGGCGAGCGCACGCTCGCGAAGTCCTCTCGCACACGATCCTGCGGGTCATGGACCACACCCGCGGCAGCATTACGAAGTTGACGATGGACGGCGACGGCGACGTGGCAGCGGCCACCCGCCTGACCGACGAGGCGAGCCCGGGCGACCCGCACAGGGCCCGCCTTCACGCAGCTCGGATGGCGTTGCGATTCTTGAACGGCGACTGGACTGGCGAGCAGCTGATCCACTACGAGGTAGGCTGTTGCGAGAACCACGCGAAGGCGCGCGAGAACGTCCACGCGGCGTTGTGCCGTTTGCTTGAGGGTTTCACGTCGACAGAGCCGAGCACGTCCAGATGGGGATCTACGACGGAGGCCTTGGCAGAGCAGTGCGGGGGCGCGATGTGCCACGGCATGCTGCCGCGCTGTCTGGACACGGCGTTGCGCGGCAGGAACCAGGACTTGCGCCTTCCCCTCCCCCTCTCAGCCAGCTGCCTCCCTCTCGCTGTTCGCCTCCCTCGCCTAGCCCCGTGCCCTTCCTCCCCGACCCCCCGCTCGGGGCTTCCGCCTGCTCGGCCCCTCCACGCCATCGCCCCTCGTCCACGCCCCCCTTCCGCGAGGACGAGGAGAACGACGAGGACGCCGACGACTTCAAGCTGGAGTTGAGGAAGAAAGCCAACCGCGCCAGGAACGTCATGAACGACAGCAGTCTCATGAGGCAGTATTCGATTCTCTCTTGGTGCGCGGAGCCCATTGACCACCTCTGGGTGAGCATCCAGTGGCTGGACGTGCACGCGACCCCTCTCATGGATCTTCAGCGGCCTGGTAGTCCGTTCGCCTTGTGCCTCAAGAACTCAGCGAAGCTGTTCGTCGAGGACGTGGCCGCGTCTCCACTTCAGTACGTGTTCAGACATTTTGGCGGCGACGCCGAGGCCGAGCTCGACCTCGTCGCGCAGGCGCAGGACCTTCTTCTCGGCATCATGGCCCAGATCGACTGGAGGTTCATTCGCATGTACTCGCAGTGGCCGCACCGTCTGACCAACCTTGTCGACGGGCGCCTGAGCGAGGATGAGCGGATCCGCGAGTTCGACGCCTTCTGGGGCGAGGACGAGTGCTGCCTCGACGATGGCTTTACCAACAAGGTCCGAGCGGGACGTACCAATCGTATGCAGTGCCTCCTCTCCCCCTCCTCCTCCGCCTCCTCGCCCCCTCCCGCGCCCGCCCGCCGCTGCCTTCTCCTTCGCCGACTCCTCCTCCACCTCCGCCTCCCCTCTTCCGTTCCCTCTGCCTCCGACTCTCGCTCCCGCACCCCCTCCATGTCCCAGTCGCGTTAGCTTGATATTCTTTGCTTGCGCGTTCCGCCGCCCCCCTGCCCCTGGGCGAGCCGCCTGAGACGGCGCGCTCGGCTTGCAAGCAACGGAGGCGGTGCCGGGGTCGGGTTGCCGCGGGGCTCTCGGCGGCGCGGGGCGGGGCAAGGACCTCGCCGGCCCGTCGCCCCACGTTGGGATTGGCAAGTTCAGGGGGAGAGGCGGGGGACGCGGGGGCGGCAGGGGGAGGAAGCGCGGAGGACCAGGAACGGCGGAGGAGGGCAGGCAGAGGGTCGGGGGCGGAGGAGGATGGAGGCGAGAGCAGAGGTTGCGAATTGCCCCCCCTGCCAGTTGCGCAATCTCTACGACAGCAAGGAGGAGCTGGCGGCCGATGGCGTCGCGCTGAAGGCCATTGAGACATGGGCCAAGAAGACGAAACTCTGCAACATGCATCTCGAGAGAGACCTGGCCCTCATCAGGAAGGCGTCCCCGTGCAAGAGCCCGCAGGCCGAGAGGTACTCTGCGTGCGGGCTCCTATCGCAGTGGCTCTGTCGCCACAGGGCCGCTGGCGGCCGGGACCCTCGCGCCCACGAGTCGGCGGCCGATCTTGTGCGGAGAGGCGTGCCATTGCATCGAGGCGCTTCGAGGGCTAAGGCCAGGGGGATTCAACCTTCCAACGCGAGGGGGGTGCTCAAGTACATCCACGCGCACGAGACCAAAGGCCTCTCCAAGGGTGAGCACTACGCCGAGATGAGGCGCCTGGCCGCCGATTTCAAGGAAGCCTCCGACGAGGTGCAGGTTACCTACAGGGGCGAGGAGGTCGACAACGCCGAGGAGCGGGAGTCCGTTGCGGAGGCGGAAGCCAACCTCGATGTACTCGATGAGCAGCAGTATAAGTACAATATCGGAGATGGGCTCTGGGGGCTTTCGACGTCAAAACATCCCATTGATGTTGGTAAAGTGGGCGACGTGATTGCGGCTCAAGTTCCTCCTCCGCCTAATGGCGGCAAGCAGTTTGGCATGAGGCGCTACGTCGGGCCGCTCAGGCAGCGCCTGAAGGACCGCATGCTGGTCGTCGACGACGGCGACCGGGGCATCGACCCAGCTCTCGACCTACGCCTTCGGCAACCTTGTTGGTTGGCGCACCCGGGTTTGTGCCGTGCGAAGACGCCCGACATCTTTGATGCTGGCCTGCGGGCATCTCGCAACTTGGAGGCGTTCTTGTTCGACGCCTGCGCGGTGGGCGACTTCATTCGCTTGCGGCGCTTCACGCCCGAGGGCGAGGATGGGGATGATCAGCCATTGGAGGTATACTACCGCATCTCTTACATTCGCAGGGCACACGGGAAGGTTGTGGCGTTCTTCCCCGCATATCTCTTCGGCGGGAAATTGGAGATCCGATGCGGCGAGCAACGGGTGAAGACGATGGTGTGCAGCGAGATCGCCGCCTCCCTCCTGAGCGGCCCCCGCGTGGCGGCAGTGCTGGCCGCCGACGGCTTCATGGTGATCATGGCCTCGAAGTGTCGCGCGCAGCGGGTACCTCGAGATCTGCAGCGCGTGGAGCTGCGCGGTTTCGAGGCCGAGATCGACATTATGAACGGGGACTTCAGGAAATCTAAGGCCGACGCCGACAAGCTGAATAAGAAACTTTCACATCCAATCGAAGCTGGTTTCAAGCAGATCGGCCGGATGGAGGCTGAGCCCAAGGAGAAGCGCCGCCGCATTGCCGTGCCTGCCGCTGGCGTCGCGCTGGCGCCGCCACACAACAGCGACTCGGAAAGGTTCACTGGCTCGTCGGGCTCCGATAGCATCGACCCCCGCCATGGCGAGGGCGGATCTTCTTCTGCATCCGAGGACGGAGGCGGCGCCCACCCTGATCCTGGGGGCGGAGATGGCGGCGGCCCGCCTGGCCCCGAAGGCGGCGGCGGCGATCCACCTGGCCCCGTTGGGGGAGACGGAGTTCCGCCAGCTCCAGGTGGCGGCGGCGGTGGGGGTGGCGGGCCGCCAGCCCCGCCGGCGGCCGTTGGCGGGAATACCTACTGGCCCGTGTTCGACGAAGATGGCAGGGTGATCGGCTCCATTGTCTGGAACAATGCTGGCCAGAGTTTGGATGCCCATTGCAAGTGCGAGCACCATAAGGGCGGCCTGCCGTGCCATGTCAACAGGACGATCAATGGCAATCCCAAAAATAGGAAGGGCAGGCCATTGGCTTTTCTTATCTTGTGGATCCGCTCGTGCAACGATCACGCCACGCGGGACGACCACTTCTTCGCCCGCCTTGGCATGGGCGAGCACTCGGACGCCGTCTCCTTCCCGCGCCGCGACGCCTTGCGCAGGGAGATCGAGGAGCTGGGCATGCAATCAGGAGGAGGAGGATGGAGGAGGAGGATGGGGGAGGAGGAGGAGGAGGAGGGGGAGGAGGAGGATGGGGAAGGGGGTGGGGGGTGGAGGAGGCGGGGGGAGGAGGTGAAGGAGGGGGCCCAAGAGGGCCCCAAGACAGCCCAAGATGCCCCCACGACGGCCGAAGAGGCCCCCGGGACGGCTCCAAGAGAGGGCCCCAGGAGGCCCCAAGAGGCCCCCAAGAAGCACCCAAGAAGACCCCAAGAGGCCCCAGGAGGCCTCAAGAGGCCCCCAAAGAAGCCCCCAAGGATCCCTAGAGGCCCCAAGAGTTTCCCAAGAGGCCCAACGGAGGCCCCCAAGAGGCTGGAGGAGGGGGTGGAGGAGGAGGTGGACGAGGATGTGGAGGGGGATGGGGGAGACGAAGGGGTCGGGGCCTGGCGCCGCGATCGGTTCCCAAAGAGGCGCGTGGGCCACGGGCCAGCAATGGGCCCCACGGGGCCACCGGGACCACCCCGAGCTTTGTAGCAGGCCCCATTTTCGCCAGCACTCGACCCTCGACTTTCGCCCGCTCGGCGATCCAATCGGCGTTCGAAGGGGCCCCGAGGGCCCCGAGATTGCCATGGGGCAATTTCCGCCCAAGGTAACCTTTCGGCCCGCCAAGGTTACCCCTCTCCTGGGGTTAGTTCGATCGGCGAAGCCCTACCAAGGTTACCCCTTCCGCTGCCCACCCCTCCAGGGGATATGTTTATTATGTTCCTCCTGGGGCTACCCCCCTCTTGCGGCTGCATGGCCACCTCCATCCCAGGCTTGCCTTTTGGCCACCTGGGGCCTTCGCGGGCGGTCCCGAGTCCTGGGCGTCCCCATCCTCGGCCGCTTGTGCCTCGCCCTCATCCCGCCCTTCCTCATCCCCCTCGTCCTCTGCCTCCTCCCCCTCGTCCTCTGCCATCGACCTCCTCTTGTTCCGTTCGCCCCCCTCTGCCATCGAATCCCGCCCCGCGTCGAGCCCGTCCGAGGCGGACCCTTATTGGGCAGGCGCTCGTGAGAAGGAGAGACGCCCGTTCCCGGGCGAGGGGCCCGAGCCGGACCGCTTGCCTTAGGCGGATTGGTTGGGTAGTCGCACTTCGCGATTGAAAGGATTTGCGGCGTGCTTTCATGCAGCTTCTCTTGTTCATGTTTATGCATTATATCGTTATCGTGTATGGGATATTGGCACAAGCTACATCATTATACTTAATATACATAGACTAAGATACATCTCTCTCCCTCGCCCCTCTCCCTCCCCCCCCCCGCTTCCCCCCCCCCTCCCCCTCGCCCTCCCTTTGCGCCCTCTAGCCTTCTCTCTCTCTCTCTCTCTCTCTCTCTCTCTCTCTCTCTCTCTCTCTCTCCCTCCCGCCCTCTCCCCCCCTCTCCCTCTCCCACTCTCCCATGCGCCCTTGCGAGGCGGTAAGGGGGCATGCCGGTGGCAGGGCCCCGTAGTGCCAGGGTCATGCGGCCTCTGCTGACTGCCAACTCCAGGTCAGCGCCCGTCCGCCAGCCCCAACCTCCCTCCTTCGCGTTTCGGTTGGATGGTTGGTTGGCTGGTGGTTTGGCTGGTCGCCCCCGCGCGCGATCCGAGTGAGGGGCGCGCCGACATGGGCGGGTGTCGCCTTCCCGTGGGCGAGGCTGCCCGCCTGCCGCCTCCCCCAGCGCTGTCCGCCAGTCCGCCGTCCCCGCGCCCGATCCGCGTGGGGGGTGCGTTGGAAATGGGCGCGGCCGAATGCCTGCTCAGGGGCGAGGCGGCGGGGCTGTCCGCCACTCCGCCGCCCCCGCGCGCGATCCGAGCGAGGGGCGCGCCGAGATGGGCGGGCGCCCTCTTCGGGTCGAGGCTGGCCGCCTTTCCGATTCCCCCGCGCGAAGCTGGGCTGTCATGGGCCATGGGCCGTCTTGGGGCCTTAGGCTGTCTTGGGGCCGTAGGCTGTCTTGGGGCCATGGGCCGTCTTGGGGCTTTAGGCTGTCTTGGGGCCTTAGGCTGTCTTCGGGCCTTAGGCTGCCTGGGGCCATGTTAGGCTGTCTTGGGGCCCTAGGCTGTCTTGGGGCCTTAGGCTGTCTTGGGGCCATAGGCTGTCTTGGGGCTTTAGGCTATCGTGGGGCCCTAGGCTGTCTTGGGGCCTTAGGCTGTCTTGGGGCCATCTTGGGCTGTCTTGGGGCCCTAGGCTGTCTTGGGGCCTTAGGCTGTCTTGGGGCCTCAGGCTGTCTTGGGGCCATCTTAGGCTGTCTTGGGGCCCTAGGCTGTCTTGGGACCTTAGGCTGTCTTGGGGCCTCAGGCTGTCTTGGGGCCATCTTAGGCTGTCTTGGGGCCATCTTACGTTGTCTCAGCAATTCGCGAGCAGTCCGAACCTTGTGCCGAAGTAGCGCTCGTTCAGCAATCGGGCAAGCTGTGAGAGTTTGTTCCGAAGCAGCGCTGGGGAGTTTGTGTCGAAGCAGCGCGGCAGAGCCTCTGGGGGCCCTTCTCGTAGCCGGCGCTGGAGTCTCCTCGAGTTTCTGGTCATGCAAGTCCCCGGGAGACCAAGGTCCCAGCTTGCCCTTACATTGCCCCACCATGGATGCTTCAAGTAGGGGTTCTGCTCTCGCATTTTGAGCCGCCGTCTTCGCTGGTCCCCGACGAGGTGTCTCGCCTGCGGCCCTCGGCCGTCTTCCCCAGGTCACGACGAAGATGACGACGGCGACGACGACGATGACGATGCTGAGGTGCCTCGTCCGTTGAGGTCCCTTGTCCTTGCCCAGGCCCTTGGCCCCTGGACCCCGCAGGGGGCCCTCGTCCGCTGAGGTTCCCCGTTGGTCGCTCCTCCTCGCGCTTTTGACGGCGTCGAGGCCCATCCCACCATCCTGCCCCGCAGAGGGCGCTGGTCTGCCATCGTCGCCATCGGGCTTCTAGCGAGTGGCCCAAGTTTCCCAGGTGACCCCGAGGGTTCTCAGATCGGCGTGGGGCACGGGCCACCATATGGACCTGGGGGCAGCCGCTGTAGAGGCAGGGGCCGATGTCTCAGAGGTGCGCCCCGTGGCGGCCCCTGGTCGGCCGGGCCAGGGCGCCCGCCCCCGCACGTCGTCCGCTCCGCGGTCGCGGAAGAGCGCGCGGCGCGATCCCGTCGTGACGCCGGCGTCGGATGCCCCCACTTTGGACGCCGAGCCGTCGGCGCCCCAGCCGAAGCCGCAGCGCCCGATCTCCCGCGCGTTCGAGAAGGCAGCTTTCGAGGGCGCCTTCGCGATGATGCCCGCGGTCGCCGTCTCTGACGACGAGGCCGAGCTCCGCGAGGACTGGCGGGGCGCCTCGCGGCCCGCCGTTTTGGGTGCACGGGCCCTCTTGGCGAGCACGGGCCCTCTTGGCCCTCTCGGCGTTTCTGTTTTCGGTTGCCGCAGGATTTATGTTTTATTTTCATGCTTATTTTGTTTATTTATTTGTTTTTAATTGTTTTATTTTTTAAAAGTATGTTCCCGGTAACTTTCCGGAAACATTGTTTTGTTGAGATGTATGGTTTCTTTGTAACATTAGCATAAAACAATCGGCCCCGGGAACTTCCGGAAACTTTCCGGGAACTTTTTTACAAATAAAATAATATATATATTTCTGAAAAATAAAAAATAAATCCTGCAATAAAAAAATATGCGCTTTGCCCGCCCCCTCTCCCCCCCAAAAAAAACAAAAAACATGAGCAACAAAAACTTCGGGAGGGCTCGGCGGCGGCTTCGGCGAGCGCCCAGTTGCCGTTGAAGGGCATCGGCGCGGACTCGCAGATCGCCTCGGACGGCAACCCCGACGGGACCCAGCCCGACGGCTTGCTGGAGCTGGAGCCGCCCTATGCGCCGGAGGCTCGGGGCAGGGGGGCGAGGGGGATTGGGGGAGATGGGGGCGGACGCCGAGGGCGAGGGGGGAGGAGGAGGAGGAGGAGGAGGAGGAGGGGAGGAGGAGGGGGATTGGGAGGGGGGGGAAGGAGGGGAGGAGGAGGAGGAAAGGAGGAGGAGGAGGAGGAGGAGGAGGAGGTAGGAGGCGGGGAGGAGCCCCCCCCTCTCCTCCTCTTCCACCCTCTCCTCCCCCTATTCGCAAGTACGCAACTGCTGAGCCACCGTACCTCCTACTCATCATCCCCTCTTTCGTCCCCCATCCTCCTCTTCCTCCGGGTCGCATGTGCTCACGTCGCACAGCAGATTCCCTCCTCCCCTTCCCATCTACCTCCTAGTCCTCCCCTTGCTCCCCCTCACCCTCTTCTTCCTCTTCCTTCCCCCCAGCCCCCCCCCATCCGCCCCCCCTCCCCCCTCCTCCTCCCCCTCCCCTCTGCCCCCCTGCCTCCTCCTCCTCCACCTCGCCCTTCGCACTTCAACTCCCCCCTCCACCTCTTCGGCCTCCTCCCCCATCCCCCATCCGTCTTCCAGGAGCGCAAGAATTGGCTCCTGGGCGCTGACATCTTTTCGGATACTCCTTACCTTCGCAGGGTTTTATGGGCGATGTCAAGGCCTCCCCCCCACCTCCCCTTCATCATCCTTCCCCCCCCCGTTCGTTCTGTCCGCCCTCCCGCGCCGCCACCCCACTCGCGCTTCAGGCCAAGGACGTCGTCGAGGTCCCCGATGATTCGCAGAAGCCGCTGGAGGGGTTCGACGACTCCGTCGATTCGCATCCTGGCCAGTGCCCCGGCGACGGTTCCCCTCTCCGCGTCACGATGAGCAGGATGGCCCAGGCCATGTCCAAGTCTTTCAAGCATTCGTTCCTCGCAAAGGTTTCCGAGGGCATTAAGTCCGTCTCCCTTGGTGGCGAGGCGTTGTTGACCTATGGGTCGGCTTGCTCAGGGTCCGACCTCGCCTTCCACGCCATAGAGTCGGTGCTGGACACGTTCTTGGAGTCGTGGGTCCCGCGGTCCGCGGAGGCCTGCAAGGTCAAACATGTATTCGCGTGCGAGAAGGACCAGAAGAAACAGAAGTTCTTGCAGGCTCAGTTCCCGCAGCTGGAGTGCATTTTCGGGGACGTTTCGGGGCTTCACTCACGCACCGCGAAAAACATGATCAACGACAGGCGCGTCCCTATCCCATACGTCGACTTATTTGCCGCTGGGTTCAGTTGCAAGAGCCGCTCCAACGCCAACAATAACAGCTCCAGCCACAAGAACTGCGTCCAGGAGGGCGACCTCGACACGGAGACGGGGTACACGTTCCATCACATATACCGGTACATACTCCGCTCGAAGCCTCGCCTTCTGTTCTTGGAGAACGTGTCTGGCTTAGCCGAGAAGGATGAGGGCTCGTCAGCAGATGGAAAGGAACCCAAGACGCAGTCGGACGCAGACTGGATCGTGCAACAGCTCGAGCAGAACGGTTACGCTGCGAGGTACGTGATATTCGACGCGAGCGACTTCGGCAGCCCCGCGGCCAGGAAGAGGATCTACTTCGTCGCCTGGCTCATGGAGTTCGACGGGCTCAAGGACGGCTCCGTGCGCTTCGACCGGGAGAAGCTCGGCATCGTGGACCGCGTCATGAACAACCTCACCGTGGAGGCCCTTGCCCGGGGGGGAGATCGAGGAGGGGGCGGAGGAGACTGAGGAGGAGAGGGAGGATGGGGGGGGAGGAGGAGGAGGAGGACGAGGAGGCGGAGGAGGAGAGGGAGGAGGAGGAGAGGGATGGGGGAGGAGGGCGAGGCGCAGGAGGGGGGGCCCCCGCGCGCCCCGCCCAGGCCATCTCGCCCAAGCAGTGCTTGATCCTGCCCCCGGCGAGCCTCTTGCCAGACTCGGAGCATGTGACAGATTTCAATTGTTCTTCCGCGAAGGAGTCGCGCGCTTCCGAGTCCGTGTGGAAGGAGGAGCATTGCAACGCCTTCCGCGGCATGGAGTACCCTTGGCCCCCTGAGATGCCAGCGAAGGGAGTGCGGGATAAAGGCCGCAAGTGCACGGTCCAGCAGGATACGGTCTTCTCTTTCTACCGCATGATGTTGGACGACCGCAATGCGGAGCTTGCGCTATTCGCGTGCAGCAAGTTCCCAATGCCACCAGATAGCGATCCCCAGTTCTTTGACACGAAGAATTCCTACAGCCGCACCTTCGCCAAGGATGAGGATGCCAGCCCGTGGCGCACAGTGGTGCCTACGCTCACGGGGCAAGGCAGGATGGTCGTGCGATACTGGTACGACGGCGAGGTGATCTTGCGCCCCGTCCTCGGCATTGAGTGCATGGCTTTCGCCGGCTGGCACTTCGAGTGGTGGGAGGAGCCCCGCTGTCTCTACGACGACAGCCTCCTCATCAACTTGGCGGGCAACGCCTTCTCGGCGTTCGCAGTGGTCCCCATCGCCATGGTCTTGTTCCACGTCCAGGGCGCGATCTGGAGCGTCGCGCAGGCGGTGATGTCGGGGGAGGTGCCGCCGGCGATCGACTCGCAGGATGACGGAGATGTCAGCGTCGGAACCTCGTCGTCGGACTGAGCTGGGTGCAAGGCATTCGCTTTGCGTGCGAGCGCGTGTGGGGCGGTCACATTCGCAGGGGGTCATGTTTCCGGAAAATCATTGTCTCCCAGGCCGAGAGCTTCCCCCCTTCTCCCTCTCGCCCTTCCCTCCCCCTCGCCCCCCTCTGCCTTCTCCTTCTTATCCTTCCTCCCCTCCTCCTCCACCTCCTCCTCGCCCTTATCCCCCCCCAACATCCCTCTCCCCGGGCTTCGGGCAACCCCGCCACTTCGGAACCCAGGGGCCGGGGCGAAGAGAGGGTCAGGATAAAGGGGGGAGGAGGGGCGGTACCTAAGGCGAGGGGGTCGTCTGGGCTAAGAGCGAGGGATTCAGGCAGGGGGCCCTCGTGATGATGATGAGGAGGAGGAGGAGGAGGAGGAGGAGGAGGAGGTTCCGGAATGGTTTTTGACATCAAAAGCGCTGTTGCCCATTAATAAAAAGGTTTTAGTGGGCAGGGGCGCGTTTGTGTGTTGCTCGCTTGCACGGTGCCGCGCACAGAGGAAGAGGAATGATGGCTTTTCAAGTTGGCCCCCCTGCCTTGCCGTCGCCCCTCCAGCTCGCGTTCGGTCGGGGGGATATCCTACTGAGGGGAAGGGGGGGAAGGTTTGCCGCTCCGTGCAATCAGCCGCCCCACTTCCGTTGTCTTGCTCGGATTCAAACGGGCCCTGCCCCCCCTTGTGCGGGCCCCGAGTCGGCGCCCCCCTTCGAGCGGGCGGCCCGCCCACATGTCGGCAGTGAGCGACGAGTTCGAGTTGCAGCTGGGCGAGGACGCAGCCACCCTTTCCCGCCGCAAGAAACAAAGGAAGGAGCCCCTGCCGCTAGCCTTCGGCGATGCCTTGGACGTCCGCAAGACGCCGGGATCCAGAGCCAGGGCCGCGTTCCAGAAGGAGATGGAGGGCAGCGGTGTCAGCGTCGTGTTCACGCCGGACGGCCGCGAGTGCGTGATCTGCGGGTCGAAGGACAGCGACACCGACGAGGTCGACGGCGGCCGGTGGGCATGGGCGCGCATGCCCGAGAATGGAAAATCGCAGGGCAAGCACTGCTGGTACTGCTGGAAGGCTTGGTTCGTCCGCTACCGCCACCAGGACGCCACCAGGACGATCTCCATGCTGACCTCTGCCTGCGGCACCGACGATGGTCTCATGACGCAGGTCAAGGACCTCAGGAACTGGGTGCTCGATAAGGCTCTAGGGCAGGATTAACGTGCAGCGCAAGATCGTCTCCCTTCACTCTCCCATTCACTTGTATCCACCCTCGCCCCCTTCTCCCCCTGTCTAGCTTGGCGGGGGTGGGGGGAGGGGCAATTGCGCGGCGCGCTCATCCTGCCCCAGCAGGCAAAGAAGGAGGGGTCCAGGGACTTCTATGTCAAGCACAGCGAGGTTCCCGCCGTCGTCAGCACCACGGAGCGCAACTTGACATCTATCGACGACGAGGACGAGTGGATCGAGCTGGAGTATTACAAATATTCCCACAATGGCGGCATGGGGGACCCCCTGACCAATGGCAAGGGCCACGTCGTGGCCAAGGTCGACGGCGAGCTGGGCGTCGTCGTGAGAGGCCCGCCGATCAAGAAGCTCAAGCGCTCCAAGCAGCAGATCGCGGACCTGAAGAGGGTGCAGGACGACGGGTCGGTGGAGCCGAACGCCGGGCACATGGCCGCCGTCTTCAACGACTTGTCCAGGGGCATCGGCATCGCGATTGGTGCGCCCTCGGGTTCGGGCGCCTCGAGTTCAGGCACCTCCGCGTCGACGCCGCCCCGCCCGAGTGGCCAGGGCAAGAGTGACAGCCCGGCCTCCAACGATCCGACGCCGTCGCAGGCTGCGGGCGCTCCTCCAGCGCCAGCTTCAGCCCCGCGCGTCGGGCTCGCGCTGCCCGCCGGCGTTGAGCTCGTGGTCCCCCAACTTCCTGGCAGCAAGGATCCGGGCGAGGCCGCGGCGCCGGTGGCCAAGGCCAAGGCAGTGGCAAAGGTAAAGGCGGGGGCCAGGAAGGGGCATCAGGGCGGCAGCGACGCTGGGCAAGGGGACGGGGCCACCGTCGCTTCAGGTCGCGGGCGCAAGAAGCGAAACCTCGTCGGCGATGCCAAGAGGATTGCCACGGATTTCTCGGGCGCCGCCGACGATAACAAGGCTTTCTTCGGCACGGGCTACAGCGGGCAGCTAGCCTGGGCCAAGCGGCTGCAGAAGGACTTCGCCGAGCGCATGCCCGACATTACTGTGGAGAAGGACCCCTCGTCGCATCGCTCGGGGCAGGGCGCTCGCCCACGGACGACTGCACCCCCGACCTCCCCTCGCCCCTCCACCTCCGCCCCCCCGCCGCCGCCGCCTTCCCCCTCTTCCTCCTCTTCTTGTTACCGTCACCTCCGTTCTGCGATATGCCCCTGACTTCCCCCTGCTCCTTCCCCCGCCTCCTCGCCGCCGCCCCCCAGCCCCCTGCTTCCCCGGGGGCGCAGCGTTCGGCGAGGGCGCCCCGCCTGGGCGATGTGCCGTCGAGGAGTACGACGAGCACCTCGTCATGCAGAAGATCCCTACGGTGGTGATCAACGTGATGCAGGCGAAGAAGAAGAGCGGTTCGGATTCCGAGGAGTTCGCGAAGGTGGTGGCTGACATGGCAGATTTCTTGAGGAGGGGCCCCAAGGTGGACATGCCTGTTTTGCCCGGGTTCGCCACGATCACGTTGCAGAAGCAGGCGGCCGAGAGATCCGATCCCGTCCCCTCGTTCTGGCCGCTGATCTCGCGCGAGAATATGAAGCTCCCCAATTTGGCTCCAGATGCATTCGCGACCCTGCAGTCGGACCTCATCGTGGATAAGATCATCCAGTGCTTGGACAAGCGGGGCGATTTCGACAAGCACATCGCCGCGCTTTTCTTTGCCCCTGAGAAGATCAAGGAGGCTGGGCTCGATGACCACGCGAAGCGGCAGGTGGACGCGGTCGCCCTGGTCGCATTCGCTGGGACTTGCGCCATGGAGCTCATGCAGACGCTCGACCGCGAGAAGTTGAAGACGGCCATCACCGCAGTCGAGTGCGAGAAGAACGTGATCAGCAACAGCATGCTGTCGCAGGCCATTGGCAAGAGGTTCCTCCAGCGCGTCAAGGACAAGAGAGATCGGGTGCTCGCCGGGGACAAGAAGCTGGAGGTGTACGACAAGGCGGTCGGGGATCTCCAGAGCCTCCTGCCGTCCACCGTCAAGGACCTCGCCGCGGTGGCGGGCCCCATGTCCAAGGCTGTCTACTTCGTGAGCGAGAAGGGGCTGGAGCTGACGCAGGCCGAGCTGAAGCGGGACGGTTCCAACGTGGAAGTTACGTGCACGAAGCTCGTCGAGACGATCTCCCGCCTCCACACCTTGCTCTTCCAGGCCGCGCACGGGCAGCTCAAGGACTTCCAGCCGTCCGACTCGTGGGAGACCGCCTATTGCAACATCATCCTGACGAGCTTGGAGGAGCCGTTGACAGTCGTCGCCAACGGCAATCACTTCGAGATGGTGCTCGCAACCTTCCCGCACCTCATGTCGAATGATACCCTCGTCGCGCTGGCCGAGGGGAGGCAGCAGGTCAAGGACGTTCTCTCCAACATGGGGACGTGGCAGGCGCGGATGGGGGTCCTGGGGCACCGTCCGAACCTCGTGGATGATGACGCCCTGCTTTCCTCCCCACCTTGCCCTCTCCCTCTCCTCATCCCCCCCGTCCTCCTTGTGCCTCTGGCCTTTTTTTCCTGCCGATGGTTTTGCTCCTCCCCTCGTCCTCGCCCTCGTCCTTGTCCTCGTCCTCCTCGTCCCCCTCCCCCTCGTCCTCCCCCTCCTCCCCCTCCTCATCCACCCCCTCCTCCACCTCCTCCTCCTCCTTCCTCATCCTCCTCTAAGCTCTGGAATCTCACCCTCCGCTCTTCTTGCATCCCCCCATTTCTGCTCCCCTGCATACCCTCTCGCGCCCACCCTCGCGATCATCCGCGGCGGTTCGGCCCGCGCCCTGGGAGCCCCGTAGGCATCCTTCAACGCGCTGAAGACCAGTCCGTCCGAGGTCACCCGCGAGGACGCCAGCCACTTCGCTCGGACGATCGGGCGCTTCGCGATGCACCCCATCTGGGCGGAGGCGGCCCGGGGCGCTGACGACGACCCCGACTTTGGCACGCAGTTCACGGATGCCTTCAAGGCGAAGTGGTTCCCGTCGGAGATCGCTCGCTCCATCAACGCCCGCATCAACGAGGATGAGGTGGTAAAGAGTGCCGTGCAGACGGTGTGGGACGCCATCCCCGCGGAGTTCATGTCCAGCAAGATGCCAGACGCGGTCGAGTCGACCGACGCGAGCGACTCGGTGAACGTCTTGTTGAGTCTCGGGGACGATAAGCTGTCTATGCAAGTGTCAGTTCTCGTGGATTGTTACACCTGCGTCTCGCTGCGGGATCGACTGAAGACTCGTCGCCTTGGGTGCAAAGACGCGACGCCGGACTGGAGCGAGGACACGGTGGCCATGTTCAAGCAGGGGCGCTCGACGCAGAGTGCGATCCGCGCTCGCTTTGCCAACCCCTCGGTGCTCAAGTGCTTCGACCCGCCCGACGGCATCGAGATGCTCCACGTCTCCAGGTTCGATAACTTCGCGAACGCTGGAGACCTGACTGCTGCGGCTATGGAGGCCCCGAGGGCCTCGGCGCCGTGCCCCGCCGACGCCGCGCAGTGGGGGGGGGGTCGCCCGTTCCGTTCCCCAGTGCCCCAGGCCACCTCCCCCCAGTTGTCCAGGGCGGACGGGGTCTCTCCCACTGCGCGCGCGGGCGCGAGCTCGACGTCGAAGCCTCGGAGGTCCTGAATACCGAGTTCGGCCTGTGGGTCGAGGAATGGCGGGCAGGCGCGAGCCAGCTGGCGACTAAGGTGTCGGGGATGTGCCCGGAGGGCTGGCGCGCGTTCAAGGACGCGCTCATGGACGAGGAGAACGAGGGGGTCCGCGAGAGTTTACTGCGCAACCAGGCGTTCACAGCCCTCAGCCAGAACGTCGAGCTCTTGTCCGCGACGCGCAAGGGCATGAAGATCGTCAACACCGGGGGGCACGACGGATCCGTGTTCGACGTCAACTTGACCAAGACGCTGAAGGAGGCCAACGACCTCGGGGTGGACACTGTGACCACGACGTACGCGCTGCACAAGCTCACCAAGGACATCGCCACCCAGAGCAGCGTCTTCGGCCGCAAGAAGGACATCGCCGCCTTGAGGACCGCCGTCCAGGCCAAGGGTTGCTCGCTCGGGCCGTCCCTGGACGCCTACGCGACCAAGCTGGGGACCGTACTTCCCGCGCCGGCGGCCTAGGGCGTCACTGCCCTGGAACGCCCGCGAGGGGTAGGGAGGCGCGCGCGTCGCTGGGGCGGCGGGCGGGTGGGCGCCTCCCCCTTGCACTACATCCCGTCTCGGGGCAGGGGGGATGTCTGGCGGAGATGCCGCCATTGAACTCGAAGGGAAGTGTGAGATTAGAAATTGTAATTTCTGGTTTTTGCTCCGTCGTCCGCCGTCCTCTTCGATTTCCTCGGCTTCCTCCCGTCCTTGTCGACTTCCTCTGGCCACCTCCGTCTCAGGGGGGGGGGGGTCGATGATCCGCGTCGCCGACTCTGGCCAAGCCCCGTCGCCGACGCCGGGAGTGCACGCGTCGCGATCCTGGCCAACGGCGGGTCTGGCCAGGATCGACAAGGCGGATAGTTGACCCCCCCCAAATGGCGGATAGTTGACCCTCCCCCTATTCCTCCCCTCCTCCGCCTCCTCCTCCTCCTCCTCCTTCCTCCTCCTCATCCTCATCCTCATCCTCTACCCCCGCCGCCGCCGCCGCCGACGACGACGACGACGACGACGACGACGACGATGACGGCGCCATGGGGCCGGTCGTCGTCGTCCGCGTCGTCGTCGTAGTCGGTCGGTCGTCGTGGTCCGTCCGTCGGCCCCGATCTGGCACGCGCCGTCGCTCCCTGCGCCTCCGTCCATCCTTTCGCTCCTCCTCCTCCTCCTCCTCCTCCCTCATCCCCATCCTCCTCGCTCCTCCTGCCCCACCTCCTCCCCCCTCCTCCTCCTCCTCCTCCCCCTCCTCCTCCTCCTCCTCCTCCTCCGCCGCCCGTTCCCGTGAGTGCTAAATGGCCCCCTGGTGTACCTCCTGTCTCTGAGGATGTGCGATATTATACCAGGCTCTGCGGTGCATGTGAGTTGGAAGGGATTTGGACTCGGCATCGATGCAGATTCAGTCAGTCAGTCAAGTCTCCTCCGCCGTCGTCGTCATCGTCGTCGTCGTCGTCGTCGTCGTCGTCGTCGCCGTCGTCGTCGTCGTCGTCGTGATCGTCGTCGTCGTCGACACCGTCGACACCGGCGTCGTCGTCGTCGTCGTCGTCGTCGTCGGGCCACGGCGGCCCCGCACCGGGCAGCGCCCGTCCGTAGATCATCTCTCGCCACCTCCCCAGCTTCCCTCAGTCCCCGTTGCTGCCGTCGCCAGGCCCCTCTGCGTTCGAAGTCCCAGCCTCGACAGGTGCCCCGATTGCAGGCGCCGGGCCCGTTCGATGGCGCGCGCCGCCCCCTTCGTGGCCCAAGAACAAGATCTCTGGGGGTTGATTTCAGAAGATGACGAACCTGAGGACACTCGGGCAGGAGGGCCACGAGGGTGAGGAGTTGGAGGGCGGGGTGAGAGGGGGAGGAGGAGGAGGAGGAGGAGGAGGAGGAGGAGGAGGAGGAGGAGGAGGAGGGAGGAGGAGGAGGAGGAGGCGGAGGCGGAGGAGGAGGGGGGGGAGGATGGGGGAGGAGGGGGAGGAATACGATGAGGAAGAGAATTAGGAGGGGATCAGGGGGATGAAGGGTGGCCGAGGGGGGCCGTGTAGGATCGGCCGTCGGTCCGAGGAGCCGGGCGGCTCGAGTGACAAAATGCCGTTCGAGGTGTGCACGTGCTCCGACCCGACGGCTAGGTGGATCAGTCTGGCCATGAAGATCAGCCGGCTGGGCCACGTGCGGCGCCGCCGTCGTCGTCGTCGTCGTCGTCGTCGTCGTCGTGCCCTCTCCCCGTTTCCTCCCCCTCCACTGCCCCCCTCCTACTCATCTCCTTCCACCTTCCTGCCCAGTCGCCTGTGGGGCCTCCTGGGCGGCTGGCTGAACGTGGTGAAGAGGCGCGGGATGAAGGATTGAGGTCGGAGCAAGGCGCCGTGCGATAATTAATGATTAATTGACAATTGACGGATCGCTGCGTCTGCCAGCTGCACCGGAGAGGAAAATGCCGAGATGGTTGGCCAGCCATGTCACCAGTGTCATAATTCTTGACGCTTCGCGTATCCCCACCAACCCATCCAGAAACGATGCCCATGGGCCATGGGCATCGTTTCTGGATGTCCATGGCGGCCTCTTGGGGGTTCCTCATGGCGGCCTCTTGGGGCCTCTTGGAGGCCTCTTGGAATCATCCTAGGGGCCTCTTGGGGCCTCTTGGGGGCTTCGTGGGGCCTCATGGCGGCCTCTCGGGGCCTCTTGGAGGCCTCTTGGAAGCCTCGTGGGGCTTCCTGGGCGCCTCTTGGGGCCATCTTCGAGGAGATCGATCAAAGAAGAGGGTGGAGTTAATTAGCACTGCCCCTCGGGAGCCTCTAAAATAGCTTCTTGGACCCCCCATGGAGCGCTCTTGGGCGCGCTTGGGGCCGTCTTGGGGCTCTCTTGGGCCCCATCTTGGGGCCCTATTGGGCCATCTTGGAGCCGTCTTGAGGCCTTGGATGGCCATCGGAAGCGAAACGGCGAGAAGGCAAACATCATTGGTTTTCCTTAGGTATTTGAAAGATTTTGGCTTCTTGGAGGCTTCCATGGGAGGCTATTTGACCTCTTGGAGTCGTCTTGGAACTGTTTTGGGGCCTCTTGGACCATCTTCGGAGCCATCTTGACGCATCATAGGCTATCTTGAGCCATATTGGAGCTCATCTTGGGCTCTCCGAAGCGCTCTTGGAGCCGTCTTGGGCCATCTTGGGCGCTCCAACTACCCGCGACCGCCCCCCGCCCAGGTCCAGGGGGTGGGGGTAGGGGGAGGGGTAAACCCCTCCCAGAAGGGGAAGAAGGGGGTTGGAAGAGGAAAGTCCTTGCTCCACCTACGCCCAGAGGGCTGGCGGGATTCAGGCGCGTTGCACACTGTATCTTTAGATGTGTACGAATGCAATCATGATCACACACGCACACAGAAATATGTGTGCGTACGTGCAATATTATATGTATTGCTTTTTATATGTTATGTTTGTTGTTTTTTGTCTTATTCATATTTATTTATTTATTTATTTATGTATTATTTTTGTTTTTTTTTATTTTTATTTTTATTTTCTTGATGGGTGTGTGGGCCGCAGTAGGTAGGGAGGCCAAAAGACATAGACCTAAAAAACTCGGAGGTCTGCGCGGATTTCTCGGATCGGCGCTTGAAGCGCGCCAGGGGCGGCGCCAGAGGCGCCTCCGGGGGGTCCAGCGCAGATCCGAGAAATCCACGCGGACCTCCGCGTTTTGATGTCTATGTCATTCTTCGTCTTCCTATTCACAGAGGACCCCCCTCCGATCGCCTGTCAGTGGGCCCCGCTGGCGCGAGAACCGCTTCTGCATTCCCGCGCGCGGGGGGGACGGCGCGCGCCGCCGGGAGGCCCGAGGCTCCCGTGGGCCTCTTGGGGCATCGCCGGTCGACCCCATCCCGCCTCTCGGGCCGCGGTCTCGTCCGTTCGCCGGGCCTCGCCGCCCCTCTCTGCGTCGGGGATCGAGCGACGGGGGTCCGCGCGAGCGGGGGTCCGCCAGAGCGCCGGACCTCGCAGGGTCCCGAGAGGCCAGGGCTGCACGGACCCGCTCTGGCCTGGGCCAGCGTGCAGGACCCTCCGGGACCTTTCAGGGACCCGGGTTTGTGCGCTGACCTGGGTCCGTGCGTCCCCGAGTTCGTCGCCGTCGCGGCCTCCCCTTGCGCCCCCTCCCGCCCGCCTCTCTCCCTCCTGCCTGTGGCCACTCTTGGCCTCTGTTGTCGCGGCCTTCCCTGGCGCCCCCTCTCCTCCCGCCTCGCTCCCTCCTGCCCGGGGCCGCCTGCGTCGCGCCTCTGTCGTTCTCCGCCGCCGTGATGCGCCTCAACCGGGCCAGCGCCTCGCCGCGGCTCGCCCGAGCTCGAAGACAATTGCTTCAGTCGCTCGAAGAAAAAAGAACCGCATGAACATAAGCTGTTGGAGCTCCGCGCGGGTTTCTTGGATCCGCGCTGGCCCCCCCCCCCCCCGCGGCGCCTACGGTGCTGCCCCTGGTGCGCTCCGCGCGCCAGGGGGGGGGGTCCCCAGCGCAGATCCAAGAAATCAGCGCGGAGCGATGGCGTTTTTTCTTTTTTTTCTTCTTCTAGTCGCGCGCCTGGCGCGTTCTTGTCGGCCACGAGCTGACACTGCGGCGGGACGGCGGCGAGGCGCTGCGTGCCGCGCGCCGCCTCTCGAGCGGCAGCGGGGCGGGGCATCCCGAGTCGCTCTAAGCGTGTCCGCTGGTCGCGGGGGGGGGGCTGATGGGCGCCTCCTCGGCGAGCCACGGCGGTGCCAAGAGGAGAGGAGAGGAGGGAGGAGAGGTTTTGGAGGGATGGTGGAGAGGAGGAGGAGGAGGAGGAGGAGGAGGAGGAGGAGGAAAAGGAAAAGGAACATGAGGAGGAGGAAGAGGTGGAGGATGAGGAGGAGGAGGAGGAGGCGGAGGAGAAGGAGGAGGAGGAAGAAGAAGAGGAGGGGGAGGAGGAGGAGCAGGAGGAGGCGAGCCGTGCCGAGGAGGCCACCAGGTGGGGCGGGCAGGGGATCTGCCTGCCTCTCCCGGGGCCAGAGTTCGGGCTCAGGCCTGCCGCCTGCCGTGGCAGCTTCTTGCATGGCGCCCTGCGGCGGTTGTTTGTTCTGCCCTTCGCCGGCGGCGAGCGAGGGGGGAAGTGAGAAGGGGCGGGCCTTCTCTGAAGGCTGGGAAGTCCCGGGGCCTCCTGAGGAACTGCTCTAAGCCTTCCCCGAAGGCACGGAACACTTCTCAGAGGGCCGGAGCTCTTCTGAGAAGCCCCGCCGCCTTCCGAGACGGCCTTCTCCTTCTCACTTCCCCCCCTCGCTCGCCGCCGACTTCGGAGGGCAGGAAAGACAACCCACAGTCTCTTCCCATGTGGGCGACGCCACAAAACGGGGTCGACTGCGCCGACATTGGCGCGTAAGCTGCCCGCGCAAGGTCGCGCGGAAGCGCCCTCGCTCACAAAATGGCGTGCCGCGTTGGTGGCCCGCGTCAGCCGTTGCATAAGGTCGTTGTGTCATCTCGCGCAAGGCCCGTTTTTGGATCGTCGCCCATGTGCGGGATTG